GTCTATTCTTCCATCTTCCTTTGATACTTCCTGGATCATTTGAGGCTTGAATTTATTTTTAGTTCTTTCAGCTTGAAAATGTCAGACAAGTTCTTCCTTTTTTATTCTCTGACTCTAGCCCTTTGCACATTTTATTAAAATATTTTGTGGTGTTCTCTAACTGCCTTTTGAAATCTGTTCATTTCTTTTACTTCAGCATCTCTTCCTTTCGTTTTGACTTAATCAGTACTGTAATGTAACTTTTTTTAAGTGTTCTGAAATTCTTTTTATTTCCAGTTGTTACGAACTACACAATAAAATATCTTTGCATGGTCAGTAACACATAGGTAAGCATCTTTCTAGTATTCTTTGCTTTACTCTAAGAATAATATTATATCAGTGGTTGTAGTATCTCTCATTCTGTATCCTCTTCTGAATCTGGCTTTTGTTTCTAGCAGTTCCACGTCAATATACTGATCCAACTGCTTTTTCTAAATTATCATCAGCATATAATAATAATGGTATTGTTAATAATTATCCTATTCTCTTGGCTCACCCTTCTTAGAACTCGTTAATGCCTGCAGTACACCTTCAGGTTCTCTATTAATACCATTTATTCTTCATCATATGCAACTTCCTGAAATGATTGTAGACTAATTCTTTTTTTTTGCCAGTTAAAATATAACTTTTATATTTTACTTATATCCTAGTCTTTTTTTTTTTAAGGAAAACTGGCATTTGTTTTGTTTTTGTTTTTTTTATTATCATTATTAATTTTAATGAAAATTTACAGAGACTTTGGCTTTCAATTCATTTATTGTTGCACCCCCAGTTCACTCTTTTTGAAAAGTAAAAGAAAAATTCTTTTATTGTTATACAGTCTCTCCCCTCAAGTCCACTCCACTATGCAGCCTTTGTTCTGGATTCCTGTCATGGCAATAATACCTAATCACACAGCCCTTTTAAACAGTTCTCTCCCTCATCTGTTTTAATGCAGTATACATCATTTATCCCATCTTCCTTAGTCTCCCCACAACCCCGACTTCAGTTCCGTTTTATAACAGTGGCACTATCTAGTATTTATCTTTTTGTGACTGAGATATTTCACTCAGCATAATATCCTCCAGGGTCACCCTCACCCATTTTGTATAATATTTCATGAGTTCCTTGTTTTTCAATGCAGGACGGTATTCCATTGTGTGAATATGCCTGAGCTTCTCTGTCCATTCATTTGTTGATGGGCACTTAGGCTGTTTCCAACTTTTTGCTATTGTGAACAATAGCTGTGAGAAACATGAGTGTGCATATATCTGCTTGGGTGGCAGTTATGGTGTCTTTGGGGTAAATTCCCAGTAGTGCAATAGGGTCCAATGATATATTTCTCTTTGCAACATTTTGAGAAAGCACCATACCACCTTCCATAGTGGTTGCACCATATTACACTCCCACCAGCAGTGAATAAGGGTTCCAGTTTCTCCACAACCTCGCCGGCATTTTTTGTTTGCTGTTCTGTTAAATTTTGCTATTCTGACTGGAGTGAGATGGTATCTCATAGTTGTTTACTAATGCAATTTTTACAGTGTCTTCTGACATCCATTTTACTTTTTCTTTCTCTTTCTGTCTTTACAATGACCTTTTGTTCTCTTCATAGATGATATCCTTGATGTCATTCCACAGCTCCTCTATTCTTTGATCATTTGTGTTCAGTGCCTCAAAGTTATTCTTGAGATGAGTTTTACATTCAGATGGAATTGACTTAAGGTTCTTGAGGACTTGTTTCATTTTCTTCAACTTCAGTTTAAACTTGCATATGAGTAATTGATGCTCTGTTCCACTGTTAGCAGTTGGCCTGGTTTTGACTGCTGATACTGAGCTTTGCCAACAATTCTTTCTGCATGCATAGTCAATTTGATTCCTGTGCAGACAGTCTGATTAGTGCTGTGTTATTCACATTTGTGTAGGTTTTTATTGCTGATCACACTGTTTTAAATCCCCTCCAGGTGTAATATTAAAGTGCACTCTAAAATTCCTAAGTGCTAGCAGGGTGTGTGTGCCTCACTCAGCAAGCATGTGTGTGAAATAGTCCTCATTCAGGTAAAAGTTATAGTGCTACTGGATTTACACTTATTGTTAATGAATCAATAATACCATGCTAGGAAAAGGGAGAGAAAATTCCTCAAACTGAAAACCTTGAGGCTATATTGAAAATAACAGGCTTAGGTGCATGATGAAGCTATGGAAAAGATGAGAAAGAGGTTCAATTTGTAAATTCATGAAATGACAACTGATTTTAAGCAGGGGAAGATATGATGGACAGTATTGCTTCAAGCCAGACGCTAGAGAAATTTTTTAGTCATATTACCTGGGTCAGGAAAATTATGAACCTTCCTTAGGTAGTTCTTGCTGATTCACACATTTCAAAAGGAGATTTTAAAACCTTCAGATGGCAAAATTCTGCAGATCATGAAGTGGCAGAGAATTTTTAAATTAATTTTAAAAAATCTTACACTTTCTAGGTGTTATTAGAAAAAGGAAGGACAAGCTTGTTCTCGTTGCCATGGAGTCAAATTTGACTCATCCTCCATTGGATTTCTGAGGCTGTGAATCACACAGACGATTACCCACCATTCTCTGTGGAGTTACTGGTAGATTCAAAGCACTAGAAAGGCACAGCCTTTGGGTTAGCAAAACATACTATTCACTATGCCACGAGAGCTCCTTTATCAGGGAAAGATAAATATTCCACCAGCCTTTACCCTTTTCTTGGGGCAAGCCAAATTTAAGAGGCTTAACTATACATGCACTGTCTTTCCACACATTCTGAAGCTCTGTAAAATGGAAGTTCATATTTTTATAATTAAAATGCTTTATTTTTTGTTTCCTTTTTATCAGAACTTTATTTTTGTTACTGTATTGTATAGAAAATCATGGCTTGCAGTAGCCTAGACTTAGGATCTCTTCAGTGTTTATGATTCCAACAGAGCATAACTATACCCATGACTGAAAATTAACTATACTATACTTTTTTTTTTTTAAAAAAAAAAAAAAGTAAGAATACTTACACCCAAGTAGAAAGTATTTGGGCCCTGCATTTATTTGGCCATTTAATGAAGATGACCTGTATTACTTTTCCCTAAAACTACTCCTCTTTTCCAGTCATTTACACACACAGTCTCAGCACCACAATTTTGCTGCTGCCATAAACAGTGAAGAAGGGCTAATATGCCTCCACAGGAGGAATATAGGCTGCAGTATTTATAGCCACAGACAAGATTTTCATCAGGACAGGTCCTCGTGCCAATAATGGTACAATGGTACTGGGAAAATGTTTGATTTTCACACTCTGACCAGCAAAATTAATTGTGTAGTAGCTTCACATAGAAGAAACATTGTTCTAATTATTCTGTATTTCAATTTAAATCTTTTCTCAAAAAATCATCTTAAATAACTACAAAATTACCTCTTTTGAGCCTTTTTCTATCTGAGAAAGACAGCTGATTATGTTTACATGATAAAATATAACTAAAAAAAGGTATACCTGCAGTACTGAGGATCTTATCCCTGATGTGTTTGAGCTATTGAAGCCTTAACATGTAATTTACTCTAATGCTAAATTTATCCAATGAAAAAAACAAGGGTCAAAGGGTTAGACAACTTCCCTAACTTGTGCTTTTACTAAAAAAGTAGAATCAGCCCCATGTCTGCTGGTACCCTCTCTAGTGTCAGCACAAAGATGACAGATAGATGACCAGTATATATGTGAAAAGATGCTTTGTTTAGTAAAGTTCTGATAAATGTAAATTAAAACAACAGCAAAATAGCATTTTTAATCATACAGAGTGGTACATTTAAAGATAATGGCAAGTGCTGACAAGACTGTGGGAATAAACTGTGAGTGAAGGTGTTCAGTCTTTCCGGGATACCTAGTGACACAGTGGTTAAGCTACTTTGGAAATAAAGGGATAAGAGTATAAACTATAAATGATGAATAATTAACTTTTATTTTTATCTACAATCACCACCCATCATAGCAGTGGTCAAGAAATCAAAAGATGTATTACACTGGGCAAATATGCTCTCAAGGGTCTCTTGAAAATACTAAAGAGCAAGACTGTCAATTTAAAAACAAAGGTGTACTTGACTCAAGCCTTGATATTTTTCACTGATGCATGTGAAAGTTGGACAATGAATAAGGAAAAAGAATTGATGCCTTTGAATTATGTTGGCAAAGAGTATTAAATATCACATGCACTGCCAAAAGTAAGAACAAATCAGTGTTGGAGGAATTACGAGGAGGCTGCTCCTTAGAGACAAGGATTATGAAGCTTCATTTCACGTACTTTGGGCCTGTGGTCAGGAAGCATCAGTCCTTGGAAAATGACATCATGCAGAGAAAAGTAGAGGGTCAGAGAAAGAAGACCCTCAAAAAAATTAATCGACACACTGACTTTATCAGTAAGCTTGAACATGACAGAGAGAATGAGGATGGTGCAAGAAAGGCTGTGTTCTGATCTGTCATTTGTATAGAACCACTTTAAGTCAAAGATGGTTCAGTGACTAATATAGCTCTTGGCATACATAATCTGTGGCAAGTTGTGCTGTTTATCAAAAGGCTAGCCCATCTACCAGATCTACTTGCACTAATGTGGGAGAGAGACAGTCTTTGCCCTGTTAAAATCCATAGCCTTACAAAACTGAGAGAGAGTCACTCTGACTCATAGTCACCTCATGGCAATGAGTTATTTGTCTGTTAATATTTTCAAAAGTATCAGGCTGCCTGTGTCAGAATCTTGGTTGTTACTTGCTAGCCACTTGACCTTGAGTAAGTAAGATTTGATTCTGTGTGCTGCAGTGTTCTCACCTGTAAAGTGAGGATAATACAACTTACCTCACAGGATTGCTATGAGGATTAAAAGAGATCATTATTGTAACACACAGCATCCAAATAGTAAACTATGAAGTTTGTTATTCCTGTATGGTTTTCCTCACCCTTTTTTTCCCTGGATTTTTTTCTTTATTAGGTTCAGAGCATCATTCGCTCCCAAACCAGCATGGGGATGCGTCACAGAGATCGTCCTACCACTGGTAACACCCTCAAATCCGGCTTGTGTTCAGCCCTTACAACCTACTTTTTTGGAGCTGATCTCAAGGGGAAACTGACCATCAAAAACTTCCTGGAATTTCAACGCAAACTTCAGCATGATGTTCTGAAGTTAGAGGTAAACTGTTGACTTCTGGGGGTGGGGGCACATCCATGACATGGAAACCTGAAGTCACTCGGTTGGGAGGGCCTGTGCCATTGACGTCCTTTTTTTCCATCCACCCCTGACCACTGTAATGGATGGATTTGAGTCTTTTCAGTGGTCTGCAAACTGACAGCAAGGATGAAATAACACGTTCTGTGAAAACACCATACAACAAGGTAGTTCTGGGACTGTAAGCCAAAAGCATCTAAATTGAAATTCTTACATATTTGGATGCCCAGCTTGAGGACAGAGCAACTCAGAGTTGAGAGCAGCTCTCAGTTTGATTCAGACTATTCCCAGTGTTGTGTTACTGTGTAGAAGGCACCAGGAGGCAGAGGTGAGGTAAAAGGTGGTTCTTACTTTGAAATTTTACAGAGGTAATAAACAGCCGGAAACACAGAATGTTAGAATAAAAACATCTGTGTTCAGAGCTACAGTGTGTTTAGAGATTTACAAGTTCAAGTTCCACTCAGTTTAGACCTTGAAACAAATGAGAGCGTTAAAGGGTTCTGATGTGGATTTCTTGAATTACATGTTTGTGTTAATTGGCCCCTGATACTATTCAATTTAAAATATTCTTCAGATACCTTCTAAGTTTGATTTTATTTTTTTTTTTGGCTAGAGATAAAACATGACATCTCTAATTTCTTGAGGGTTCTTTTTATGCTGATACTTCTGAATTCATTTCTTAAAATTCATTTCTTAAAAACATATGTCCTACTTTAAAGTTATTTGCATTTCAAATATTAAACAGTATCACTGAAAACACGAAAATATTGGCAAATTGTGTGTGTGTGTTCAGACTGCATATATTTCTTTTCTGCCTGCTCTCACCTTTCCTCAGGATTCCCATGTCCACCTCCCACCTCTTCCACCCACACAATCCAGTTGAGTCAGCTTCAAAAATCACAACTGAATCCTCATTATCAATAAGAGAGCTATGTAATATTTATTCTCCAGAAGAACAGAAGCATGTTTAATAAAAAAATCAGATCAGAGTTTGAAAATGCTGTAGTTGGTAGAGACCTTCACTCAAAAAAAACAGTAATGGGAGAAGATTGGCATCATTGTGTCATAGAGTTGGTGGCGGACGCACCAACGAGGCAGGGCCTTTGGGTGAGCAGTGCTGCGCCATGTCCGTGCACTGCACCCCTAGCGCTCTCTTCAGTAAATCTTAGCTCTTGTTATTTTTCCTTGGAAAAGTTGAGGCTCAGTGAGGGACAAGAAGACTGTTTTCAAAGAGGATCTTTCCAGATATGCATCCTAGGGCCCAAACTATACGTCTTGAATTCTAGTACATGCCAATTCTTTACTGTAGCACTTGCGACGAATGAAAGCTCAAGTATGAGCCAGTTCCAGCTCCTTGGCAAAGAGTTTTGAATTTTGAAGATTTAGTGATGTGCTTATCTCTGTAATAAGTTTAATCATGGATTATTCCTCTTCAAAGACAGAAGCTTGGAAGAGAGACAGATAAATAAAGCCAGACTTAAACCAGAGAACCCAGAGCACTGTCACTTCTGCCTCCATGGTGACCATCTCCAGGGCTCCATTCCCAGTCCCTGACCTCAGGGTCTGCTGAGTCACCAAGGCTCAGAGCTTCCTTCCAGGGCCAGGACCTGGGATCCTGGCTGTGCATCTGATCCTACCATGGTGAGGGCGTTAAGCCCAGTTTGGCCCACTTCAGGATTTCAGTAAACTTGCAAGATTTCCTTCCAAAAAATAAAAATACAACAAAGTAATGACTCTTCATCCTTAAGCCATGCTCCTTGAGGAGTCTCCTCTTTCTCTCATATAAAGTTCAGTAGCATTTACTTCATGTAAAGTTATAAAGCTCTTCTATTGGACCTCCAGCAAGCACTGCTGTATAGATCACTTTATCTGGTGCAGAACACAAGCTAAGCATAAAAAGGTGTTACAGGAACAGGGTTAAGTGCATAGATTTCAAAGACTTCTCTCTGTTACATGCAGAGTAATATGAAGTATTGATAAATCTGTGTAGCACATAAATTACTTGGAAACATTTTTCAGCAACAGTAATTGCTACAATAAAGAATTTGTATGTGTTAGAATTCAAGACGTATGTATGGCTTGGTCCCTAGCATGTGTACCTGGAAAGGTCCTCTTTGAAAACATTATAAAGTAAGAATACAAATGATTTGATTGTATAATTAAAATTTAACACATGTGTAATATGGATAAGGGAGCTCTGGTGGCTTAGTGGTAAGGGATTGTGCTGCCAGTGAAAAGATATGTGATTCCACACTACCAGCTGCTCCACAGTCAAAAAATCGCAACTCCCATGCCATTTACTGCCTCTGAAGACCCACTGGAGGGTCAGCTATGAGTCAGTTCTGGCTCGACAGAATACAACAACAAACAATACTGTTGACAGGGGTTAAGCTGTCAGCCCAAAAACAGGTGGTTTGAATCCATCACCTACTCCATGGGAGAAAAATGAGCAGTCTCGTGTGATTTACTACCTGTGAAAACCTACTGGGGGCAGGGGGAGGTCAGTTATGCCTCAGTTCTAACTGGATAGTGTATAACAGCAATGTCACGTGCAGTTAGGGAACTCGGGTGGCGTGTTCCACAGTGAATCTCACTGTTGCTAACCCAGAGGCAGCACCTCTTGGGCAGTTCAGATCCACCTCAACTGGGGAGAGATGAGCAATCCCCTCCTGCGTGATTTACAGCCGCTGGGAACTGCTATGCTTTGGTTCTGACTCAACAACTTTGAGTTTGTTTGCATTTATGATACAGAATAAGCTAACAAAGTACAAACTAGGGTAGTAATTTTAACAAATCTTGCCTAATAGAGAGTCATCCAGAGGTCGGAGCAATGGGAGCCCGACCACAGTCTCCTCCAGCACTTAATTCGTGGAAGAGGGACAATTGAAAGAGTCACCTGTCTTTGCTCCTCAGAAACTGCAGGGTGGAAATGCCATTGGCTTTTCAGTAGATTGCTGCTGAGATGTAAAGGCATGAAAGCGATAAAGGAGTTCATGCTTAAGTACCGAATGCAGAAGCAAATAGATGCAAAAGGCAGTCATATGATCGTCATTCTAGAAAACTTCTCTTTTGATGAAATTTAAGGTCATTGGTAAGCACTGGAAGAGATCTGTATTTGTTCCCATTCTAAAGAAAGGTGACCTGAGAGAGTGCAGAAATTATCAAATAATATAATTGGTATCAAATGCAGGCAAGATTCTGCTGAAATTATGCAAAAACTACTGGAACAGCACATCAACAGAGAACTGCCTGAAATGCAGGCTGGGTTTAGAAGAGGCCATGTGGTACTAGGGATATTATAGCTAATATTAGATGGGTCTTGGCTGAAAGCAGGAAGTACCAGATGAATGTTTATCTGTGTTTCATTGACTCTGCAAGGGTATTTGACTGTGTGGATCACAACAAACTGTGGCTGAATCTGAGAAGAATGGAAATCCCAAAACATTTGATTGTGCTTTTGCTAAACCTATAAAAGGACCAAAAGGCAGTCCGCAAAACAGAGCAAGCAAACACTGCATGGTTCAAAATTGGGAAGGGTGTACACCAGGGATGTGTTCTATCTCCATACGTTTTCAATCTATATGCAGAACAGATTCTCCGAGAGACTGGGCTCGATGAACAGAAATGTGGCATCAGGATTGGAGGAAGACTCATCAACAATCTGCATTATGCAGATGACACAATCCTGCTTGCTGAAACTGAGGAAGGCCTGAAACACTTAGTGCAGAAGGTCAAGGACTGCAGCCTTCAATGTGGGCTGAAGTTCAACATCAAGAAAACAAAGATTCTCACTACTGGACCTATTGGTATTATCATGATAGATGGTGTAGAGATTGAGATTGTTAACAACTTTAGTTTCCTAGGCTCCACAGTCAACGCTCTTGGTTCTAGCATCCAGGACATTAAAAGATGAATTGCACTGGGAAAGTCTGCCGTCAGTGACCTCTCTAAAGTACTGAAGAGCAACAGTGTCAGTCTGGAGACTAAGGTGCACCTGATACAGGCCATCATCATTGCAGTTACTTGCTATGCGTTAGAAAGCTGGACAATGACTAGCTAGGGATGGTAGAAGGAGAACTGATGCTTTTGAGCTGTGGTGCTGGAGAAGAGTACTGAATATTCTGTGGACTGCTAGGAGAACAGACAGTTGGTTTTGTTTTTTGTTGTTTTGTGGGTGTTTTGTTTTTTTTTTTTCAGTTTTTAGACAGAGTGAGGCCAGGCTGCTCCCTGAAGGCAAGGAGTCTGAAGGTTCATCTGACCAGTCCTTGGAGAGGAGCATCATGCTTGGGAAGGTGGAGGGACAGTACAAGAGAGGAAGACCCTCTGAGATGGATTGATTAAATGACCGGGATAACTGAGGTGTGTCAGGGACAACAAGATTGGCACAGGATAGAGCAGTGTCTAGGGCTATTGTACATAGGGTTGCTGTGAGTTGCAGGTAACTCAATGGCACATAACAACAACATAAGCATTGGGCTAAGATGGACCAAAACTCTCCCTGTGAACCAGTCAAAACCTTTTTCAAGTTCATCTTATGAGGAAACCAATAGCATATATAGTAAATTTCATTTTTCCATTGAATGACATGGGAATAGTAATACTTCTTTATTAATAGCCACTTATTTTCAGTTTCTTCAGTCTGTATAGTGTAATCTCAACTTGTTGTGTTGTTGTTATGTGCTTTCGAGTCGTTTGCGACTCATAGCGACCCTATGTACAACAGCCCTAAACCGTGCTCTATCCTGTGCCAGTCTCATTGCCTCTAACAAACCCATCCCGAGTACCCCAGTCACTGAATCAATCCACCTCATAGAGGGTCTTCCCCTCCTGCGCTGTCCCTCCACTCTACCCAGCATGATGTCCCTCTCCAAAGACCTGTCTCTCCTTACAACATGTCCAAAGTATGTCAGACGAAGCCCCAGAATCCTTGCCTCCAAGGAGCAGCCTGGTTTAACCCTCTCAAC